TTTTCACTGGCTGAATTGGTATCATTATCATATTTATTTCGACTACCGGCTCAAACAAACTCGTCTGAATGTCTGTTGATATCAAAACAAACAATCAAATTTTAATTAACACCTCAAGAATTTCACCAGTTGTAAAAGATTCAAAATCACTTATCTCAAAACGTGATGAAGATATCTAAATATGACGTGAACAAGTGTAAAAAAGTGGTTTCCAGATAGACGAACCTTCAAGTTGAAATTGTAATCGAGATGGAGATAGTTCAAATTCTTTCGATGAATCAATAAGTTCAACATATTGTAACCCTGACGCAACACTTGAAGTCCGACTTCAACCCAATCAAGTGTTGTGGATTGGAAGAATTTCGTTGATTTGAATGAACGGAATAGATATCTGAAGTTCATTTCATATGAAAACATATGATGGTTCAAAATCTGCATAAAAATGACTTTTTCATACGAAGCAGGAAGATTTATAATGCTGTGATACATTTTCACTGATAAAACGAGAAACATTTCATCACAATTGATATCTTTAAAAAATTATCATTTAATATTCAACGCCATGTGGTGTTACATTGAATATACAACGAATTAAGATGAACCTTCGCTTCTGCGGTTTCGGTGGACGATGACGCAATGCATTCAGTACGAATACTTTCAAAAGTTTTTGATATGATACGCGAACCTTTACTGGCATACCTAAAACATTTATTCCAGTCATCAACAACTAAACGATGAAATTAGAATATCTGAAAATTTAACATCCACTAATCCAGATTCGATCAGTTCCTCGCAAATACATTCAGTAACAAACAATACGTACCAAAATAAACCAAAAAAAGAAACGAACCAGACGGACAATGCTCTCGATACCACGTCTTCACTAACGGCACATCAACCGCACGTCTCGTTCGACCCGAACGCATATTGAACGGTCGCGGTGCCCACATCAGTGCTATACCATTGCCCGTATTCTCGGTATACAACGATACCTCCGAGAAGATCGGCTCTACTTCATCCGGTAAAATGAACTCTTCATCTAATTCATCTGGTACGGGTTCATAACTCTACAATTCAATCAACCCTTACTTCACACTGATTCTTCATCAAGGATATTTATTTGCACATTAGACATGATCGCTCACAATCATTCTTCCAATATAAGTCAATAATCGCAAGCATTTCGGCTCTATTCTGACATTTGAATGTATTTGCATTAACTTAGCTTCTGTGTTTACGAGCAGTACACAGCAAAGTTGGTGAATTTATAGATGTTACACGAGTGATAAAATCTTATGATCGCTTTAACATTGACAA